GAACTTGTTCAAAATTTTGCAGCTAGGATTATCTTAGGACTCTGTAAATATGACCATATCTCTGCAGGTTTAAAATCGCTTCGATGGCTAAATGTCAAACAAAGACTTATAGTCAATGATGCAGTTATGATGCACAAATGTCTCAAAGGACGGTCGCCTAGTTATCTGACAAATAAATTTTCAACTAGAGCTACTATTCATGACTGACAGACGAGATATAGAGATAGTTTAAATATTCCATCTAGTAGAATCAATGCTGGCCAACGCGCCTTTTATTATCGTGACGTAAAAGTATGGAATAATTTAAGTAAAGATTTAAGGGAAATCACGAGTACTAAGGTCTTTAAGAGACGTTTAATTAATGAACTGATTTGTAATATGAACCATCTTTGATGATAATTGTTGTTTGCATATAGTAGTTAAGTAATATATAAGTAATATGAAAGTATATCGTTATTAAGTTATTTATTTAGTTTTTACTATATTTTAATATTGATGCTGAAAAGCCCTTTTCAGGGATGCTCAATAAAGTGTATGTATGTATGTATGTATGTATGTATGTATTTATGTAGGTATGTATGTATGTATGTAAATTATCGATTTATACATTAAAGTGTTTTGTATTGTGACAATTCAAAAAGCGACCTTACTGATGAGGCTTTTTGTTAGACGCTTTGCATGTTCGAGGAAAGAAACATCATCGATTGAGAACGCCAAATATTTTGAAATATGAACATTTTTCCACATAAGACGAGCAAAACTGTCTTCACCGGTTTGGACTTTCTCTGTCATCACAGTCATCCTTCTCTTATAAAAAGGGCAAAGATTACAAAAATCCTTAAAAAACACACCAAAGTGAATGAAATGTATTTATCTCATGAGTAAAATGCAAATATCTTGCATTAATTTGCGTTCTAAATCATAATATTTCATTCCTCAAACATCTTCTGAAACGTTAAAATGTTCAACTGTTCGTTAGGCTGTCAAACAGCGAGTTCTCGTTCGAGTTCTCGTATATATATATATACACTGACTTATAAACATTTGCCCGTTCAATTTATTAAAAATTAAATTTTTGTCCTGTTTCGAAGAAGTAGCAATGTCAGCCCTTTTACTATCAAAAGTGACTGAACTTTATCCTTGTAACTGAAATCAATACATTTTCAAACAAACGGTCAGGGAGGAAAGCGAAAGATTAGGATATAATCTCTTGGAAGACAGATATACAGCAATTAAAGGATATTGTTTGATTCAATACCACTCAAAAGTTATAAGAAATGAAAGCCAGACCGGAGAACTAGAATTGATTTCTTTGGAAAAAAAAGGGTTAAGTAAGAAACAGTGAAAGAAACAAGAGGCCTCTTCTCCAAAATGGCGAACGAATTCTCAAATTTTATCACTGGGAAAAGTTATCCTCGTGGCATGAAATTGGCTAACGAACTAAGTATACTGAAAAATATTGATTCCGGATAAATTTAAACCTGAAACCACTAATATTTACAAACGTTTATGTAACTGAGAATGAAGCATGATGCCTCATAAGACTCAATTTTTTTTCTCAAAAATTTAAAAACACATCTTTTCTTAGCTGCTGCTCCATTTTTTAAAATAGAATCGTATGAAATTGCCAAATATAGGATAGTCATTTTTGTGCCTAAATTACTTACCCGGGTATTTCGATATTTTGAACAGATTTTGAATTTCTTTGTCATCATTTTGAGAAAAGTCGAATGTCCAGTCTATGCTGTCCTAGGTGAAATGAATTTCAAGCCGTTATAGAGGTTTTTTGAAAAGCACTACGCTGATGTTTTGACGGCAATCAGTATTTTGGTTCTTAAACGTAGCCTAAACGTCCGTTTCTCTGTCGAGAAGCTCTGCAGAATCGTTTTCTTTCTGTCGTTTGCCTTCAAAGTACGTTTGTATCTCCTCAAGCGATTTTCCTTTCGTTTCCGGGACATAAAAGTAGACGAAAACCACAGCGACAAACGCAAGACTTCCAAAGAACCAGAAGGTCCCCGCGATGGTGAGTCCGTCGATGAGCACGTCAAAAGAAAGGGTGACGATGAAGGAGCAAAGCCAGTTGAAGAAAGTGGCAATACCACTTGCTACTCCTTTGGCCTTCACGGGGAATATCTCACTCATTATGAGCCATGTACAGGGACCCCAAGCCATTGCAAATCCAACGATGTACACAGCGATGCTTGTAACTGCCAGCCAGGAAATGTCGGGGCCACTATACGCCATATCGGTATCTGGTACGGAATTGATTGTGATGAAGAAGTAGACACCCATACTGAAGCAGCTGACACACATTCCGACGCCACCGATTATAAGCAATAAGCGCCTGCCACCACGATCAATCAAGAGGATGGACACGGCAGCAGCGACAAGTTGAATGGCGCCTATCAAGATCGATACCATGGTGCTGTTGTTTTCGAAACCAGCATTTTGGAAAATCGTGGCACAATAGAACATAACTGCGTTGATGCCAGTACTCTGCTGAAAGAAGTGAAGGGTCATGCTGATTGCAAAAGGCCGGAGAAAACTCCGTTTGTTGAATTCTGTGATTGACATCTTCTCTTTTAAACCTGTTGGTAGAAATTTAGAATTAAATGCTATCTTATTGTATATATCGATAACAGAGACTAAATACAAGTGTTTCTCCTGTTGGTAAAATGCGATATTCTTACCAAGCGCATGTAGAGTACTATTAACATCCTTCACAGGTGAAACTAACAAAGTCGTCAGTCATGACGGAAAGTTTTATGAACTTGGCGGTTTTGCTTTCTTGACTTAAGTCTCTCTTTAATTGACCAGCATAACTGACATTACAATACTCTTGAGGAGACAAGCTCTATCTTTTTCTATTAAAAGTTAAAATGCGTTATATATGCATCGTGTACATTACTAACACATTCTTATCATCGGCAGTTTTTATCAACAATCTTCGGAGGGCACTCAGTACCTTGGGTTTGTAATTAACTTTGAAGGGGTGAACTTTGCGCCCATGAAGAGGTTTTTCTGTCTCTTGGATTCATGCTTTCTCTAGATGGCATGAACTACATTGTACAAATAAAATTTTCGTCAGAGACAACAAAACAACAACATAAAAGAATTTTACGTACTCAAACTATCCTTGATTTCGACAATCTCGTCCTCAATCTCAGCATATTTTCCACGAAGCCACCGTAGAGTCTTGACTGCACGCCCCTCCTTAAGGTGAGCCAATAACCAGCGGGCTGTTTCTGGCATAAAAAACATCAAAACAAACATACAGGCAGGGGGACCCACTCCTGCGATGGCAGACCAACGCCAGGAGAGGGCATGGCCGATTACGTAGGATGACAAGATGCCAACGACAATTCCAATTTGGTTAAACGCACCAAATGCACCTCGAAGACGACCTGGGGCAGTCTCGGAAATATAGTTCTAAGAAGGAAACATATGATGCAGTTAGCACCACACATGAAACGTTGTTGCAAAAAGTAAATGAAAAATTTCACGCCGAGGAACGCCAAGGGTTTTGAATGAATGAGTGAACATATTGTGTATCAGTTGAAGAGATTGATGGATCTTATGGAATGAATGAATGAAAGACTAAACAAATGAATAGATGGGTGAATGAGTGATTAAATAAATAATAATAAGAGGCATGGATGAATTAACGCATCGATGACTGAATGGTTGAATAAAAAGATGGAGAATTAAGTTAGTCATATTCCTTCTT